CTATCTATCTATCTATCTATCTATCTATCTATCTTTAAAGAAGTTTTTCCACAGTGTAAAAACAATACAAATTTTGAGTTAAAGATAAGAGAGATGGAGAAAAGTAATAGAAAAGTGAAAAAGAAATATAGAAAAGAAGTAGAAAAGAAGGTAAAAGAAAAAAAGAAAGAATAATAAAGTGGCTTCCAGTCTTTTTAACAGTAGTTATAAGTAAATTTATTTTGTGTCTTGAAAGAGCAGCTGAATGTATATCTTTTGCCAGGCTCTTGACATTAATTGTTTGCTTTGGTTTTAATTTATGTTTTTTTTAAAATTTCTATTTTATATTCTGCATTTTGATTATTGTTAGCCACATTGCATAACTGACTGAGTAGAAAGAAAGGATATATATCAAATAGTAACTTCCTTCCTCCTATCTTAGCCAAAGGTGTTGTTACTCTGGAAACACACACAATAAGTTTGGCTTATTGTTGTTGAGGTCAGGCCTGTTACTCACTGTTTCCATGCCTAGGAGAACGAGCAGAGGGATGGTGGTCATGCCACCCCGAATCCATTCTTCAAGTGTCACAGTTCCATCATGATCATAGTCTATTTCTTCCATCATCTCTTTCAAAATCTGTAGAAGACAAAATCCAATTATGAACATCATATTCTTTTTCAGTTGCAATCATTCTGATGATAGGAAATGTACCGTAGGCTTTGAACACTAGCATGGAAAACAGCTTGTCTTTTGCTTCTCTAGCGTTTTTTTATCCTTGTTTGTTTGCAGCAGAATTGGATCTGATAATCAGTCCCAAGACTAATTTAGAGTTCTATGGAACCCTACAGTTTTGTAGGGTTTTCTTTGTTTGTTTCTTTTTGCATATATTTATAATTGCAAATATTTATAATTATATCTGCATGCTATTTATAGTTAATTGATAAGCTGATGACTCAAGGAATCAATAAAAAGAACAATAACAACAAAAAGTTGTGGCATCTTAAAGACTAATTGTGGCTTAAGATTTGTGAACAACAGTTAATTTTAAGATGCCACCAGATTCTGTTTTTGCTGCAACAGACTAAGATAGTAACCCTTCTGGAAATAAAAATAGGGATCATCATGGTATCTATAGTTCAATCTCAGTAATTCAGGGCTAATCTACATAATAATTAAATATAAATAGCACGCAGATGCTTTCCCAGATTTTTTTTTTAAGTGCTTGTCAGAGCAATCCTGACTGGGCCATGGAGAAGAGACGCTTAAACCTTCCTCCCATTTGCCATGCAAAAATGCCATTGTTCCATATAGGGGATTACCAAAAAAAGAAAAGAAAAAAGAAAAAGAAATAAAAATTTCCATATGGGGGAGGGCATATGTTGCTAAGCAAGTTTCTGGGATGAATGTGTAACCTTTTGCACAAGGTGATCTCACTCTTTGCACATGGTGATCTTAATCAGTATTGATCCACTGCTTTGCTTACATCGGTGTGAAGGAAAGAACAGAATATGTATTGAATACTGTGTATGACTTAGCCCTCAGAAGTGCTCAAAGGCAGAACAAAGCACTTTTTAAAAATTAATTCTGATTCTCCATGGAAAAATAACTTACTGGCCTTAATTCTGTGGAGTCCCATTCCAGATATTCTGCTACATGTACCATTTGATTGATAATACGATCCAGCTCCTGAATTTAGAAACAAGAAGGTAGATGTTTTTAAAACAATGTGAGTAATACACTCTGTGGATGTTGCAATTATATATCAGCATGCAAGAAAAAAATAGGTTTACATCTTTATGAAGATGAGATGCCTCTTTAATACAACTATGTTGGGTTATTTGCTTAAAAAAAAAAAAGAATAAACCTTTTAAAGAGTTTGCAGTAGGGTAATATTATGCAGCACAGACATGCCCATATCATTACCTGCCATTTAAAGTTTCTACAAAGTAATTGAATTATATTAATCAAGACCATTTTGAAAAATTTAAAGGGCCAAACCAAGCTCTGTTGCTGCTATTAACCAGGTAAATTTACCAGAGTCTGTCAACTTTGAAAAGGACCCATGAGGATCCTTTACTAAGAATCCCTCAGCTTGGAGTGGTCTTGTTTCTGAGCTGTAGCCTAGCTGAAGAGACCTAGCAACTTTGTCCAGAGATAGCCAGATTTCACTGATGTATCCCTAGCTCTATGTACTTTGGAGTAGCATCACAGTAGGAAAGCCCCAGTGCATTAGAAAAAAGTCTACTTCTTATCCTTTTTAAAGAAATGGACTACTTTGAAAGATAGCTTACCGAGCTGTCCAGGAAGCCATTGCCATCTGTGTCATAGAGGCGAAACATAACTGCAAGAAAACACAAATGTGCAAAGATATGTAATAAATGTATGCTCCCATCACAAAAGGGCTTATGAGTCAGCCTTTACAGTCTACCACTGCCTTAATTTCGAGGTCTGAGCTGACCACAGTGAAATCTCTGCCTCCAGTTAACCCTTTGTATTTGAAAATTCACAACAAAATAGATGCATGAATATTAAAAAGAGAAGGAATTGAAAAGTGGGTAAGTAAACATTAGCTGGACACTGACAAAGAGGAGGAGGTGAGAAAGAAACTCAGGATCACCCACCATAATTTTCTTTGGTGTAACAGAAAGCAGAGGAAAACTCTGACAGTCTTCCAAGATTCTGTTACTATACATTCGGTCAGTGACTGTTTGAAGTTATGACAGAACTGAATGAATAGTAGTTACGACTGATCCTCAGAGTTCTGGCCATCCCAGCACCCATGCAGTGACGTGATCACGATCTGGATGCTTGGCAACTGGCTCACACTTACAACTGGTTGCAGCACCCCACAATCTCATGATTGCCATTTGTGACCTTCTTTGCTTCCCCAGAAAGTCAATGGGGAAATGGCAGGGAAGGTCGCAAGTCACTGGGGTAAGTCTCCTCAGACCGCGCAGCCTCCCCAGCCCTTCTGTGCTCATCCTGCATTGGCCACTCGCACACCCTCCCCAAGCCTCGCTGCACATCTTTTTTAACTTTAGGTAGTCACATGTAAAATCATTAAGTGGTGGACACAATAAAAATAAAGTGCTGGTAAAATCAATCAGCACCTTAAAGGAATCCTGCAAAGGAGCCTATAAGCTTGGGACAGACCTTGAGGTGGGATCTCTCTACTGCTCAGAGAACTTAAGAGGCATCAAGCATACAGGGACAACTCGCATAGATACAGTAAACATCAGAGACGATAAACTATCATGTCATACAGAAAGAGAAATAGAAAAGAATCTATATTTATTAATGTCTAGCTAGACATTTTTACTTATCCTTCCTGAGGCGATTAGTGACTCAAAAAGATTCACCTCTGCCTCAATTATTTTGGGGTCCCTCCTCCAGATGATCCTGAGGATTCCAGCCAGGTAGTTTCTAAGGCTGCTTTGTCCTGCCACAGTTCCAACTTTTAATTTCAAGATAAAAGATCTTTTCTGTCTAGTGGAAAGGAATGGGCTTGGTGCTAATCTACCTGCAGATGTGAGCCAGAGCATGCAACTGCCCCATGTTATGTGAATTAAAAACCAGATGAATGAATGCCTTTTTAAAAAGTCTGGCATTCTGGAATACTTTTCAGGCAGTCTGGCTTCACAATGGCTGCATTTTTATTTCTTGACTGACCAGAGGTCACGAAATTTAGTTTTTTGCAATTGCAGTACACATCCATCTAAATCAGAGTTGTCTCCAGCCCCCTTTTTCATGGCATTTGGAGCCCGGTCTGGTTGTAATTCCTGCAAATTGGAAGGGCTGGTTTTTGTTTTTGTTTTTTTTACCATTTTCAGTTAGAAATAAAACAGCCCAGTTTTCCCCAACATGGAATTGTTTAGATATATGGGGCTTCTAGTATTATAATCAGCACTGAACATGCTTAGCAACTGATTTAATATACATTTTAAGTAAATAGAATACCCAAATCAGTAGATCAACAATACCAGTGAATTTATAATGTGAAAGGCAATGTCCATATCATCTTAAAGCCAATGTAATCCACTTAGAAGCAGATGGTGTATTTGGCTACAGTGTCTATCAGGCTCAGCCAGCTGGTTGGATATTATGTCATCCAACTCAATTGAAGATTGAGGAAATTTGACTTATGCTTCATGGACTATAATTTTAATCTTTGTGTGCTGTTTCTAAGATTGTAGAATAACTTTGTGTGCCAAATTTATTGTCCTCAATATTCTCCATATATGTGTCTTTAATTGCGTATAATTATGCTCTATTTAATGCATTCTCAATGTACAATATGTAGCTGATCTTTTGGAAGAAACTACCTCTAGAGTCACTCTTAGGCTTCAGCCAAATCCTTCTAGATTAAGGATTTATTATTTGTTTGTACATAGTATTATATTTAAATAATTTTAATTCTATGTACAAACAAATAAAAATAGAAAACTAACAAACAGCACTAGAGGGCAGCCTTCTACAATTTTCAGAAATGCTAATGAAACAAAACTGTACACTATTTCTCAAGGTTTGGAGTTTATATTTTGCAAAGAGTAACAAATAGATAACAGATTTCATTTTAAAGCTATTTTTCTCCTTTCTCTGCTATATATCCAACAATGAGTTCAGTTCATAAAGTAAATGATACGTAACAAGGGAACCAAGCAGGCCAATAGAGATGAGTACCTTTGTCCTAGGATACACACCATTTACAAGGAGGAAACATTTGTTCAACATCACTTTAAATAGGAAAAGCAATATCCCTGCTTATTGTGATACCTAATCATGCAAAGCCTGTCTAAAGGCTAGGAATGTTCCATCTAATCTAAAGGGCGGCTCCAACATCACATTTCTACTCCTGCTATGACGTTCTGAAGAGATTCTACTGAACAATTCAACTTGAAATGTTACACCAGAATAGATCATAGACTGGTCCTGGGAGAATGACGCTATATGTTTTTTTCCCCAGTGATATCTCATAATTAATCTGTCCTCTGCAGTATTAATAGAGATTGGCTTATAAAACTAGGAGTTTCAAATGGCGAATGACTCAGAGCTGAGCAGAAAGGAGGAGTAAGATGAAAAAATTATAAACAGGCAACCTTTGTGATGCATAGCTTCCCCATTATGTCCACCTAGGACTGCCAGCTCCAGCTGAAATCTATCCTGGAGAGTCCCTTCCACAATAAAAGGATTCATATAACACCACACACACACACACAAACACACACACTAGTAGCCGCACTCCAAAATAAGGTTGGAAATGGGGTGAGGAGAAAGGGAAAGGAAATACAGGAAAAGGAGAGGACAAAACTGGAGAGAGATAATATGTGGGGAAAGAATAATTGTAAAGAAAAGAGAAGAACGTCTGTTGAGGCATTACAAAAAAGGTTAAAATTCATCAGAAGAGCTGCCCTTCCAAATCACCACCAAGGTTAATCTTCTAAGGGACTAATTTAAAAGGTATCTAGTTTTCAGCAATACTTGTAGCTACTTGTACCCATATCTTCCACCCACCCATTCCCCAATTGACAGCACTTATTTGAGGGAAAAACTCCACCTCCTGAGGAAGCTGGTAAGTTCTAACTGAGGAATTTAAAATTACATCACTGAACTGGTATTTCATCAGAGTTGATGATTGATACATGGATTCCTCACCTGCAGAATTGAGGGTTGGCAGTTGCTGTACAAGCTCTGAGAATGCTTCCAGGCAAACCTCTAATAGTACAGTGTTGCCTCTTAACTTCTTTCCTTTCTATTAAAAACCAGCTAGAGAAGAGGAACACACTACTACAAACACCTTTTGATTAGTCACACTAGAAGCCATCTATCAGGAAGGACACAGGGAACATTTTGGATGAATAATACTACACCCAAATGTGTTAACCAATAAAAATGGTATCTGTGCTTGGGAACTGCTCCATTTATATTTTGTGGTGGCCTAAGGGCTATTGCTTTTAGAAAGCAAGGAGGAATGGATGTTACTGCAGGAGAAATGGAGGACCATTGAACTTTGAGTATTTCATACTGGAAAATATTTGAAAATTATCTACAAACTCAGTTTCTGGCTCCCTGAAAATGGGACCCCAAAAAAGGGAAAGGGCCATAGAAATATGAGCTACGGGCCAATGTAGCAGCCTCCCATCAATGAATATTAAGCAAATACTGTTTAGCCAGTCTATCTGTCCACAATGAGCTGCTTGTTGTGGACCATAGCTCTTCCCAGCTATGACCACTGGCCATACTGGAGCTGATGATCGAGTCCAACAACACATAGAGACCCACAGGTTCCTATTCCTGTTTAGCTGGAAAGGAATGAATGAACAATTTATTGTCTGCTTCATTCACAATTCACACTGATGTGAAACTGAGCACTTCCCCCCTTATAAACCTCAAAGCTCTTATGGTTTCCTCTAAAACCACAACCCTCCCACATTCTTTCCACCCCTGCCACCTGCAACCAAGGCACCCGTAGCTTTGCACTTGGTGCTCAAGGGCTACACATGTTCTTCCTGTCACCCAAGCACTTACACTCCAGCTTATCCTCAGCCCGTCCCCTTTCCAGCAGTGACAGGTAGCAGACAATGTCCTTCAGGTAGACTACCTGAGCCAAAGGGGCTGGTGGGTGTGGACTGGCTGTTTTCAGGGAGATGTGACTCTTTCGGAGGTTGAAGGGCAGTTTCTTGTCCAAACTTTTGGAACCTAGAAGGAAGAGAAAAAGGTTCATATTGCTTTAGAATAACTGTTTCCAAGCTGCCATCCTTTAGATTATAGTCCAAAATAGATACAGAGTGACTGTTAGGAGAGATTGATTTAGAGCTACAACATGGTTCTTAGATCAGAAGTAATTTCTGTGAGCCAAAGGGCTGCACTAGACTTTGCATAGCAAATCAAGAATTAACACATGGGTGAGGTTGTGGCCCACTTTGTACATTTTTCTTTTGTGTTTATTATTATACAATTATTGTGGTAATAGCTGTTTTAAAAAATCCAAACCTAAAACACCAGTGAATAAAAAAGCACGATAGCCCAATGTGGAAGTTAGGCTGAGAAGGACTGTAAGGTAGTGGGGAGAATGTGGGGGGGGGGGCAGAGAAGAGAAGCAGCAGAGGGACATAGAGTGAGGAAGGTAGGCTAGGAAAAAGGATGTCGGTATGGGGAGCGGGGGGGGGGGAGGAAAATTATTGTCTTGTGGTAAATTAAAATTTTGTTACCGCACACAATTTTGTGGATTAAAACTAATAGATTTTAAGCCATCCTGTAACTGTGGTTTTCTCTGCAATAGACCGATGTGAGCAATCCTCTAGAAACTTTTCTGTAAGAAGGGTTGCTTCTAACTCAGGAATGTCTGCTCTTGACAGATAAATGAAATGGCTGTACCCACAAGTTCCTTCTCATGACATTACACTGCCATGTAAGAAATCTGCTTACAGGAACTTCTGTATTGGCAAGGCTGACATGGTATGCAATAGAGGAAAATGAATACGTGCATGAGAATGTGTAAGAATGCTAATGTATATCGTACCGGAGAAAGAAGACGTGTCTTGGAAGAAATAACCAAAGTAAAGTGTGGGTGAAGAAATCAGTACACAAATAAATTCTAAACTACTGCAGAATGTTTACAACCTTGTACATTTACCCTTTACTCCCTGGCATAAACTAGTACTCTGGAAACATTGGGTCACTCAGTGGCCTCCCCATCCCAGATGCTGTTACCACATAATAAAACATTTGGCTGACAACTCCTCAGAAGGAAACAACTCTCCCACTCCACCTATCTTACTAACTATATAAACATCCAAAAACTGCTGCATTCAGAATCCTTGGAATAAAAGTACAGATTCCTAGCTGAGCTCAAGCAGCTGATAACATCATCCTAGTTAGATTAGTGGGTGAAGATTCCCTCAGACTGACAGATCCATGGAGCAGATAAATGTAACTGGGCCTTTGAAGCAAGGAAGACATTGGAAATAATTATTGGCCAATGGTGCAAATTTGCTTTTGAAATCACTTTCTCACTCTGAAGAAGTGAGTGAGAAGTTTCTGCTTCTTATATCTTCACAGCAGCCAAAAGTGCATCTCCTCAGCTCTCCCTTCCACTTCAGGCTTCTCTACCAGATCTGTACCCCATGCTGGGGTTTTGACCTCTGAAATGAATTTTGTAGCTATGTGTGGGTGAGGCTGGAAAATATATAGGAATGCCTCAAGGAAAGAAAGGCAGGTCTCACCTGGGGATTGTGGAGTGAGCAGAGAACCTGAGGAAATCTTGGAGGACCCTGAGGAGTTGTGAGCAGAAGGGTTACCAGCAGTGGATTTCTGTGATGATGATCTGGACCAGCTAGGTGAGGCATTCCCAAGGGCATTGATGTTGGCAGTTGGAACAGGACTGAGAGATGCTGATTGTGGCTCCGCTAGATTTGTCTGGGGGCTTTTGGATTCAGGTGTATGCCTTCCCATGGCACTTAGTAGAGTTTTCCCATTGATCCCTGTAATGTAAAATAAAGTGAGGAATCAGACTTCTTAATGAAATATGTTTTTCACTAAGTTTCTCAACGTGGAGGCCTTCTCTCCCTGTTAGGCTATAATTTCCAACGCCATCATCCCAGCCAGCACAGCCCAGAGCACTTTACCTAATCCCTGCCCTTCTTTTCCTCCTCTCTTGCTGGCTGTGCACACTCCCTTGCTGCCCCGTATAAAATTGGACCTTATTTTATCCAAGAGATTCTCACACAGACAGGATTTTCTAGTAAAGGCTGAGAGATGAATAACCTAAGACACCAGGACTATACGTGATCCATGAAACTCTTTTTTGTAGTCTATAGAGCTGCTGTAGTTAGTTTCTTTCAGTTTTCAGAGTGGAAGCATAGCAACAACAATATATACTCTAAAATAGATTTACATAATTTATAAGACAAAGAGAACTCCACAACTCCCCGCTCCCCCAATAAATCATGATTCTGTCTGCTTTGCATCAGTATCCCACTTTTTGGGATCCTCAGCCACCCACAAATGCTAAGTGTGGGTAGCCCCAGTCATCAAAAGAGAAGCCTGCTAGTAATGAGGCTACAAGGAAAAATATTTCTTAATCCAGATTTGCTTAAGTTATTCATGTAATATGTCATACCCATATTACATGAAAAACCCGTCAAGGATGTTTGGGGATGCTCAACAGAGAGAATCAGGTTTTAGCCATTCCATTATGATTATTATCTTTAATGGATGAAAAGAAACCTCTTCTGAAACAGTTGAAAAGATAATAAATTATTCATTTTGTCAGAGGAAGCTGAGAACAAAAAATTGATGATCTTTCAGAGAGCTTCTGAATTTGTTTTTCTGAGGAACTTACCTATAATTTTCATGATGGCTTGCCATTTTCTGTACTGTATTTGGATAAGCTCTTTTTGGTAATAATTCTGTCAGCCTCTCCTATCTATTGCCCACCAGATTCTCCTACCATTCCCCACCAGCACATCCATTTTAATCTAGTAATGTAGTAGAGAAGATCCATTTTGTTTTAAAAATAATATAAAATAATAGACTTTCTTAAAACTTCAAATTGTACATATTAAATCCAAACTTAAAATACAAAGATATAATTAAAAATAGCAAAAATATAACGAAAATTCTGACATGGTATTCTTATATGGTCCTTTAGTTTCTGTTAAACAGTAAAGAAGAAAGGTCTACAATATGTTAATAAAAGTATCTACAAAACTAAGTTTCCTCACAAACCTCCTTAAACTTTTTACCATGCACACAAACAAGTATAGGGGACCTCAACCAAAATGTTTTTGATTTGTGTAGAAAGTAAAATCATGCCACCTGATAAAAAAAAGTGTGGTGTTTGGCTTAGCCTTGTCATGACTGAATAATATGAATTAGTTTTTCTGCTATGCAATATGCCACACATATCAATGCTAATATCAACAGTCATTGTTTTATTTTTCCAATGTTTGGCTATAAATGTTCTAGCAACAGCTAGCACATGAACAACAAAGTCGTTAGATGTCAAAGCCCAACTGAACTCAGATTTTTAAAAACAAAGCTAAGTGTGAATTTAAAACTTATTTTGTGATCTTACTCATTTCTGAAAAGAATTCCAGCCAAAAGGAAGAAACTTGGAGATAAGTCCACCATATGTCAAAAAATGTTCCTCTTGACCCACATCTTTCCAGCAGAGGGGTCACTGTTGTTCTTTTAGGTGTGCTAACTTGAAGTTGTGGTGGGGAATCCTATAGAGGATGTTTCATTTCCCCTAATTTTAGCTGAAGAAGAAAACACTAGTTTCCATTCTCATATTTTACTCCATTCTCTTTCTTTAATGGCTTTCTGAAAACCATTTTCACATGTCAGTTTGAGTGCAATTAATGCATTAGTTTCTTTAGTTATATGTATGTATGTATGTATGTATTCATTTGCTTACTCAAATTTGTATGTTACCCCAATCCAAAGACATTGGTGATCTGCAATTACATTATCCAAATCCACAATTAACTACCCCCCCCCAAACAAACAAGCAACCCCCTCCCCAAAAAACCAAAACTCCCAAAGCAAAACCAAGCAATAAAATCACACAATTAAAAACTGGCATGAAGGATGACAGTTCCAGTATATCATCCCCTACCTACCAAAGGCTTAACAGAATAGCGGTTAGCCAACTTCCAGAAAAAATTAAGAGAGAGGGGGACAACATAAACTCTGTTTGATCAGAATTTACATATTGTGCTATAAAGGTATTCAGTCTTCTCACTAAGTATAGTACACTGAAAGTATCTTCATATCCAGATTAAGTAGCTTTAGGGCTCAACATATCACATAATTTCTTTACGAAACAAAGCTGTAAATCCACCTGGGCAGGGAGGCTGATGGCTGTTTAACCCTTTAAGATTGCAAATTAGATTACATATATATTTAAAAATACAAATCTCTTTATTTGTGATTACTATATGTTCCCTCTGATCATCTTCTGCATCTAACTAGAATGGTAGAGGAGATACCACAAAATCAGAAACACAGCACTGAAAAAAGGACATCCCCACATAGCAACGGTTTCCTGGCAAGGCATAAGGATTAGAAGAGCCAGACCTCCCTGAAATACTGGGAGATCTCCTGGCACCCAAGCATTATTTGCCTGACATGTTTACTTAGCTGCTGCTGTATATTTCTGTGCAGGATTCCAGAGACAGGGTAGTCCCTAGCTTTGTATTTGTTTTTACAGCATAAAGTGACAATAAAGAGTTGGAACTAATGTTGAATAGAACTCAGCCTGTCGGTACCTGTAGAGCTCCTTATTAAATGAGGAAGACATATTGTGCAGCTCTTAAAGGGTTTTTATTGAATACCTGTAACAGGAGCACAAGCAACTTCTGTCTGGATGGAGATGCCTGTATCAAGAGTCTTGGATTCTGAATACATGAAAGAAACAGAAGAATATACACATACTTTAGCAATTTGCCATCAGCTGATCGGTATTCATTGCAAATTGTTGCAGCAGCAATCACACTTTTTACTTTTATTCCATGAAAGACCACAAATATTTAGGCAGAATACAGAACTGCATGTATGTATTATTTGGCTCCATGCTTAAAAACCCTGCTGTAGAAACTGTTTCAGCCCAACCAACTGTGGGGAAGCATTACTCAGTGCATTATGAGGCAAGGCAGAACACTGCTGCTTGCTCCTTGCCCGGGTACAGCAGTTGACTACATGGAGGGACAGGTGCCTTTAAAAGGAGGTCCCACAACCAGAATTGTGTTTGGCTCGGCCCCAACAGCAGCAGGGGCATTTGGGAGGGGGAAGATGGGGATGGGTGCATGACATTTGTCAGGGCAAAGGAGTTCACATGTGGGAGCTGCTTCTCTCCATAACTCCTGATAGAGCTGGAGACTCTACATATAGAGGGAAGTGAGGTGGGAAAAGAGGAACACATGGCTGCTTTTTTCTGTCACTGTTTTGATTCCTCTCCCCGGTCCTCTCAACTTCCTCAGCTTGATTCAGGGGTTCCTCAAGCTTCCCTGTCTTCTCCCAACCAATCTCTGCCCAGAAAGTAATTTGCCATGTCCATAGTACACTTTCCCTGTGCATGGCGACACCATCAGCTTTATTGCTGAGGTGCAGTAAAAGAAATGCTGAGGCAGCTATTTTAATACCAACATCAACAAGGCTGTGTGGATGAGCCACAACTGTAGTTCAAAGAACTTAAGGGCAGGCACAGGTGGTCATTTGCATTCAGGCTCCAGTGTGCAGGAAGAGGAGGTTTTCTCCTTCTCTGCCCCGTTCAGGAGACCAATGAAGCTCTCCTTCCCAACATACACTATTAACTGCACAGGAAAAACTTACCTCCTTTTGTGCTACACTGTTGACACAAATTACCTTCCCTGCTCCATACCTGTTGCTGTTTTAAAAACCAATCTGGTTGACAAAAGGCATATTTAGAGAAACATATGGAATGAATGAATGAACGAACGAACGAATGAATATGTGTGTGTGTGGGGGGTAGTCCTTCAGGTTTGAAGAAGACATGCTATTGTGCAGTTCTTCTGTGAACACAGAGGTAGCTCTGCAGTCCCAATCTAGAAGCACAGAATCTACACAATGTGGTCACTGGAAGTCCATTGTTGCAGTAACTGTGGGTGTTCTTCTGTGACGCCACTCATGGTTTTCTAATAGTTTTTAGCAGTGCTTGTCTTCACAGCCGGTGGAATCTTCATAGCACAGGGCTCACCAGCGGGTTCTGTCAGCAGCCACAGCTTCTAGTTCCCTTGGCTGGATGTCACAGTGGTGTAGGGTTTCTTTCACAGCATCATTGTAGCACTTGCGTGGATGACCTTGAGGTCTCTTTCCGGTCTCCAGTTCACCATAGAGCAACTGGCAAGGCATATGGTGATCATCCATTCTGATGATGTGTCCCACCCAACGCATCTGGGCTCTGATAATCAGGGACTCAATGCTGGTGGACTCTGCATGATCTAAGACTTCCAGGTTGTAGACATGGTTTTGCCAACAAATGCCAAGGATGGAGTGGACAGCATGTGTTCACCAGTTGTTTGATGTGTCATTGGTACAGAGTCCAGGACTCACATCCATATAGGAGAGAAGGGATAACCACAGCTCGATATACTTTCAGCCTTGTGGAGATACAGATGTTGTGTTGGTTGAGCACTCTAGTACACAGCCACCCCAGAGCCTGGCTGGCCTTGCTGATCCTGGAGTCAGTTTCTTTGTCCAAAGACCCATCACTTGAGATTATGCTTCCCAAGTATTTGAAGCTGTTGACATTTATCAGCTGGGTGTCGTCAACAGTGATTTTTGGTTCTACAGGGTTGGTATTTGGCATGGGCTGGTAAAGTACTTCAGTCTTGTTCAAGCTGATTGTCAGGCTAAAGAGCATAGCAGCATCTGAGAATTTGTTCATCATGAACTGTAGATCACTGTCTTTGTGCACCAGAAGTGCCCAGTCATCAGCAAACAAGGTTTTTTGAATGACTATATGGAGGCACTTCGTCCACGTGTTCAAGTGGTGAAGGTCAAAAAGAGAACCATACAATTAGTACCTGATGTACACTCCCTCCCTCAGATCCTGGACAGCATGTGAAGAACAGATTGAACAGGACTAGGATAGCACACAATTCTGCTTTACCTCATTGGAAATGGCAAATGCAGCTAATGTATCACTGTTGTAAAGGACCTGTCCTGCCATTCCATCATGGAGCAGCTGAATCAACTTCACAAATTTCCTGGGGCATCCATAATGCCTCAGGATGACCCAGAGAGCCTCCCTGTTTACAGTGTCAAATGCCTTTGTCAGGTCAATGAAGACAGAGTACAGAGGCTTGTTCTGCTCAGTGCGCTTTTCCTGGACTTCCCTCGTGGCAAATATCATGTCTGCTATACCCTGTTCTGGCTGAAAGCCACACTGCGCCTCTGGGAGGTTCCTTTCCAAGACAGTGACAAGTCTGCTCAGGAGAATGCGAGCAGAGATCTTGCTTGCAATGGACAGCAGTGAGATATCCCTGTAGTTTCTGCAGTCTGATTTGCTTCCTTTATTTTTGTAGAGAGCCATGATGAGGGCATCGCGGAAGTTGTCAAGCTTCTCCTCTGTGGATCAAATGTCTTACAAGATGTCTTGGAATGCCTGTAAGGTACACACATGTGCGCATGCACGCACACACACATTCCTTTCCTTTTATGAGCACTCAAAAAAGATTTAATTAAAACAAAATCAAATATATGTGGCTCTCAAATCAAGTCCCTGCATCTGAACCTAGAATGTGATAAAATTGATCATTGCATCATTTGTTCAGTTCACAACTCAAATCACATTCATTTAACTCGCCATTACACAGCTGCAGAAAAGATAGGCCATGGATGCTGAATGGGGATGCTATCCATAGAGAGATTTCTGTCATGAAAAAAAAATCAGGGGAGAAACCCAGGCCAATGAGGATTTTGTTGTTGTTTAGTCGTTAAGTCGTGTCCGACTCTTCGTGACCCCATGAACCATATTGGAGGATTTTGTTGTTGTTTAGTCGTTAAGTCGTGTCCGACTCTTCGTGACCCCATGAACCATATTGGAGGATTTTGTTGTTGTTTAGTCGTTAAGTCGTGTCCGACTCTTCGTGACCCCATGAACCATATTGCGCCAGGCCTTCCGGTCCTTCACTGCCTCCCTGAGTTTGCTCAGTTTCATGCTCATTGCTTCAGTGATGCTATCTAACCATCTCATCCTCTGCCGTCCTCTTCTCCTTTTGCCTTCAATCTTTCCCAGCATCAGGGTCTTCTCCAAAGAGATCTCTCTTCGCATTAGGTGACCAAAGTATTTGAGCTTGAGCTTCATTATCGATCCTCCCAATGAGCAATCAGCTAGGAAAACAAACCTGCCCAAAAGGACATCTTAAAATATTTCAGTTTTAGCCATTTCCATACTGGTGATAGCTAATGAGAACTGAAGCAGCAAAGAAGGCATGTTGCTTACCAAGGTTGCTGAGCTGTGGAATGCTGGCACTTTGCTGCTGGCTCTCGGGAGAATATTGGCCGACTTTTCGCTTGAAGGACATGAAGAGGTGCTGACAGAGCTCTTCTGGAATATCCACCTCCAAATATGTTCTCATGAAGAGCTGGAACCCCTCGTAGTCAATAGGCTAACAGGAAGGAAGGAAGTAAAAGACACACATCTTTTTAAAAAGGATTCTTTAAACATTAGAAATCTATTCCCTTCCTATTTTAAATTGAAACTGTTGGAGCTATATGAAAGAAGGGTAGAAGAAAAAAATAAAGGAAAAAATAAATAAAATACAACTGTTAAGGTAGTGATTTCCACATTGTGAAATAGACCAAGAACTTTGTAGGTGGGTCAATAAGCTGTTGGGAAAGGTATCTGGAATAAAGGACTGAATTATCCTTGATCAATACAAATTTTCACCTCGTGTGATTTGGGGGTTATCTTAGAGTGGAGAAAAGGTTACCTGAAAAACCAGGCAGTTGCTGTTGTCTCAGCCTTAAGTGGGTTATTTAAAATATGCAATATGCATGGTGAAATAAAGCAATAACACCTAGCCACACTTGTAGGAAAGGGGACAATTTTAAATTAGAAGGTGGGGGATTGACTAACACTATGCTTGAACTATCTTCTTAGAAAGCACAGGGCAGTCCCGCTCCAGCTGTGTCAGCACATCATTGTAATTGAGGCTGCCAAAGAGATGGAGGCAGGTGTATTATTCAACTATGGATTTTCAACAGGTAGGACAGTGGCAGGAGGGATGATGGGATCCATGAACCTGGTAAAGCAAATAAGGCAAAATAAGCAATTCTTCCCCAACTTGGTACCCTCCAGAGATTTGAAATATTTAATTCCCAACTAGCACAGCCAGTGGCTGTTTTGCCTGGGATTTGTGCGGATTAAAGCCCAGTCTACTTGGAAGGCATCAGGTACGGTTGGGCTATGCTAGACACAAATTAGGTAGGAGACCAGTTTATGGTGTGCTTTGTGGACTTTGAGTTTCACAGCTTTGAAGAAAAGATTGTTAGAAAGAAAAAAACGCATTTAAAATTCCAAGAACCAAGATGAAAAACACCTTTATGAACAGAACAGATATGTACTGAGGTCTATCTGGTAGTGAACACATTCATCTAGAGGTACTCATTAGAGATACACTGCAGCTTACCTGTATACTGATATGCACCTAGAAATCTCTTTCCCATGTGCTAAATCAGTGTTATATTTCAGGAATACAAAGTATACCTAAGTACGCCACAAGGTAGCACAGCAATGCATTTCTTACATGCATATTGAAAGCAGGGTTACATGCATATATGTAGAAGAACAGTAGCAGCAGTGAAGGCAGAACCTCGAATAGACAACCAGCTAAAGTTCTTTGAGCACCACCACAAAAGGCAAAGCATTCAGCACAAGCTTTTGGAAGTAATCCTGACATATTTATTTGGAATCTTCTTGGTGACGTTGGTAGAATGGGCTTGGCTGAACAAGGATTTCACCTCAGTCCAGCAGGGGACACACACACACCCAAATGTACATACTGCCCACATCTAGCTGGTGGGCTCTTGAAAGCTTTGTACTATGCTGAACTCTGAGATAGCTGGTGGGCAGGCAGTATTTAACAGGAAGCTCACAATTTTCATAGTAGCCTTACTATGAAAGGTTACTTAAAAAACATGTGGGGCAGCCATAAGTGGGGAAGCAGAAGAGATCAAAGGTGACAACAGAGCATGCCAAAAACATGCTCTTGCCATCTCTTGGTTTTGCATTCTGTGAATTGTTAGCTGTAATTCATAATTCTGCAGCAAACCTATTATATTCCCTGCAACATTTAACCTAAGTGATTAACAACAGTTAACTAGCATTGCTGCCAGTAGTCTATGCAGTTGCCTAAATAACTGGGCTGATATGTTATATGATTTATCATGTAACACTGTAAAAAAATTCCACTGACTCTTTATCTTGGTTGTCAGTTAATTTCAGCATGAAAGGTTTTCTGATAAAACATTAAAAAAAAAAAAAGATTTTCTCTTCTGTTGTTTGCGGCTTGGGTGAATAGAGAAGAACAAGTCAGGCCCAATGCCCCAATATGTGGAATACGGCTTGGGGCATCCCAGCCAGCCATGCCTTTTCCCATGACGGTCTATTCCATTCTCTTTGAAATAGGCAATTTTCTGTTTTCTCTCTCTGCAGTATTTTATGGTTACTATAGGTTCATTCCAACAGGACTATTTTCAACTTTAAAGATTGTTTTTCCCCTAAAGATTTATTATTCTTTGGGATAAACAATTTGTTTTGTTGGTTTAATAGTACACAGATTTAAACTTCATGACATAAGTATAAACTTACATAATTTGGGGGGAATCTTAGATTATGGCAAAGCAACCATACAAAGCAACAAATAACACAACAAATGAGAACCTGAGTTGGAAAACAAGTCTTACTTGGTTCAGAGTGTCTTGCTTCTGAGGGAATAAAGAGCAGAGAAAGACAAAGCAAAGTTCAGTGAAGAAGCATTGAACAAGTTAGCTACTCCATTGGACAAAGGCAATTCAAGCATCCAGGAAGGAATACAGGTAGTCTTCACTTACAACCATTCATTTAACAACTGTTTGAAGTTATGATGGTGCTGAGAAAAGTGATTTATGACTGGTCCTCACACTTATGACTGTTGCAGTGTCCCTGCGGTTACGTGATCAAAATTTGGGTGCTTGGCAACTGGCATGTATTTACGACAGTTGCAACATCCCAGGATCACATGATTGCCATTTGCGACCTTCCCAGGGGGCTTCCAACAAAGTCAATGGGGGAAGCTGGATTCCCTTAATGACCATTTGATTCACTTAATGACTGTGGGAAAAAAAGATCGTAAAATTGGGCACAACTCACTTAATGACCACATCACTTAGTGACAGAAGTTCCAGTCCCAATTGTAGTCATAAGTCAAGGACTACCTGTAGACTATAGTTCTTCTCAAATGCATCACCATAGAAGGCACTTGGGAGAATACATTGTTCTAAAGTATCCCTATTTCAAACTTCACCAACAGATGGAAAGACATGTTATAGGCAGAAGATTTCTGGATGAGATCTCTGGTTTGGGAACTTTGCACTTAGCTGACAGGTAGCAAAAAAAGTTCTGTAAGGAAGAGCTTTCTGTTCAAAGGATTTAATGAAATATTAATATATTTGTGTGTGTGTATGTGTGTATTTACCATATTTGTATCTGGGACTTCTGCCAAGGAGTTCAGAACAGAATATAGTAATTATCTGTTTTTCTCATAACAACCTTCTAAGTTTAATTAGGGCTGGTAAGTGAGTGTGCTGCTTAAGACTGATTTTCTGATGAGGCAAAGAACAACACGGTGCCTCTCACCATTGGATCTGCCAGCACCATGAGGTGAGAGGACAGAATCTTCACCGGAACCGAGGTCAGCAGGCTAACTTATGTGGTGGAGGGCAGGTTGTATGCGCCTCGTGGACTTTGCCATTGTTCCCTGCCCCTCAGCATTTGCCACCCAAGGCAACTTTCTCACTCTGCCTATAATAGGGCAGGACCTGCACCAAACAGTGAAATCTTTATGTTCTCATTCAGAAGGAAGTCCTGTTTGTTTTCAGTGGGGCTTATTCCCAGGATTGCAATCTAATGAATGTTACAGCAGAGTTTTATAACGGTCGAACTCCTACATTGCCCAGCATATGAACACTAACGTATTGTTACCCTTATACTGGGAGTTATGTTATTGGTAGAACTATCTCCAGATTCAACATGTGGTAGAATACCTTTGCTTTAAGTAATTAAGTACAACAGGAAAGAATTTAAGAAGTATTTCACTAAATTACATCAAAAAGCTATTTTTATCAAAATGAAGCAATTTCTCTGTCAGATATACTGATCCCAGCAACTTATTCTTGGATCTAGTGATTTCTTTAGAACAGACAATATCAACTAATGCAAATTTGAATGGTTTACTGTTAGTTTCTATTACTACATGATATTCTTAAAATAAATATTTCATTGATGGGGAGTAGGAACCTTAGCACTTATAGAAAAACTATCCAACACAAATTACAGAACTGTCTTAATACTTTGAGTTGAGAGACTTAGATTATTTGATACACATTTGTAGCTATTCCCAGTTGATGTGTGATTTTTTTGGTATGGACTTTTAAGACATTCTTTTCTGGACCTGGATAACGGGTTAAGGCCTCAGGTAGAAAAATGAGGATTATAACTGCTCTTTCTCCTTCATTTCTCTGACTTCAGTTTAATCTAGAAAAGTTACAGAGTTCAGATATTGCTGAAATGGAACTCACTGAGCAGTTGTAGCTAACATGATTTGCTGGTAGTTGTAGTTTCCCTGTCGCGATCTAAAAGCAGGTTGGAACAGGTAGCTAAGAATATTTTCATTTTGCCCAGGACTTGCATATGATTTTTGCTGTTATTGTTTTGATTCTTCAATATTTCTCGTTGTATGACTTGGCATCTAAGTGGATATTTTAGATTTTAATTGCTTTTTTTAACTTTGTAGTTTTTAATTGTTTAAATCATTTTGTTCTGCAACTTACTTTCCTCAAGCTGGCTCAAAATCAAGGGTACCAGATTTGTATTGAGTGGGGTAAGCTTTTTGAAAATTCAGCAAGAAAAAGTATAAATATATACCAATAAACAGTGGAGACATTTAAAATCATCAAAATCAAGCAAAAGTCTTTGTAAGCCGCCCAGAGTCCCCTATTGTGGGGGAGATGGGCGGGGGAGAAATCCAAT